TGTGTCAAAAATAATATAAAAAATTCATTTCAAAGCGGGAAAGACTTTTGTCGTCAACTAATTATTGATTTATTAGTTTATTACTACAGGTTAATCACATTCAAATACGTCAAAAGTCCGGTCGAATTATAGACCGAAGGCCTCAAAAAATCTGAATCTAATTTTATTACTTCGAGAGGCAGCATTGAACCATGGGTATTTTGGGGTATGGCGTGTGGAAGGGTGTGGATGGTTGTAAATTGTAGGCCCAAGCGCACACCCGCACCCTATCCACTTCCACATCCATACCCACCCACTCACACCCCCACCCACACTCACCCACACCAATACCGACTCATACCCACACCAACACCGACTCACATCCACATCTACACCCATCCCCACCCCACACCCTGGTACTATTGAATTATAAAGACTTGTAATAGAACAATGACAAAAATTTTTTTCGGATACCTGAGGGGGACCCCCGGTGTGAAAAGTTGGGTTGTGACAAAAATAGAAAATAAAATTATGAGAAATACTCAGGGTTCAATGCTGACTCTCAAAGTAATAAAGTTAGAGTCAGATTTTCGAGGCCTTTGGTCTATAATTCGACGGAACTTTTGACGTATTGGAATGTGATTAACCTGTGACAATAAACTAATAAATCAATAATCATCGACTACATGCTTTACTTTATCTTATTTTACTTTATCTTACTTGTATGGTAAAGTTAAAGATACTTCACTTTACTTTACTTTACTTTTCGAGTAAAGTAGAGTAACTTTACTTTATTGAGTAAAGTAAGGTAACCCAACTTCACTTTACTCGGTAAAGTAAAGTCAAATGCTTTTCTTTACTTTATTAAAGCAAAATAAAGTTAAAGTCCCACCCCTAATGACAACAATAGTACTGATGATAAACAACAATTTAGACTTGGCCTATATGAGTTCCTTATTGAAAAAGGCAAGTGAACACTTGTTTGAAGAATGTGGGTAAAAATATTTCTTGTTTTTTTTCTTTTCTCTACTACTCTAAACTATTTCAATTATATTTTCTCATTTTATGGCCCTTCGTCATTGAGAGAAACTAATCATCATTTTAGCTGTTTACAAGTAACGTTTACAATACATTGATACCTAGTGGCGACTATAGCAAGCTCAATTGGTTTAAGTCGCATTTGAGAGAATTAGCTTTATCTCATTAACGAACTTTTGTTACGCGACATCTTTTCATTCGTACGCTTACACCTCCATGTGATCCACTGTCGCCGAAGAAGATTGAAAAAGACATAGTTAAACATCACTACATCATATATAAAGCGAACAAGAGATATATCGAAAGCAGGACTAAAAATAAATGTTATCTGATTGAGAATCAAAGAATCATAAATATGCATATCTTTTCTTGCCAGTTTGTGATAAACAGGACGAATATTGATGATAGATATGAATTGAAGATCTAAGTGCTATCTAATTTAGTTTTCTACTAACCTCTCGCGTTTTTCTGACGATTTCATCAAATTTCATTTTTTTGTATGAAATATGTCAATGATCGCATTTGAGTATGGATACTATTCCATAAAATACTGACAGTGACATTGACTCTCCTTCAAATACAACGAACGAATCTGCATAGATCTCGTTTTGACTGTATGGTCCCCTATTCATGGAGACTTCTCGAACTTTGCTGCACACTTGAAACTCACCGACAAGCATTACACTCTATGTTATTGACACTGCATGATTTATTTCATTGTAAATGGTTCATTTTATTTCCATCAAAGCAGTTTTGTCATTAATCAAAACTCGAACAGAATTTTCAGTCAAAACAAACTTTATTCTGCAACATCAGGCGTAACTAATACCGAAAAAAAGATGACTCTCAATGGTAGAACTAGGAGGAGTTTTGATTAATGAACATTTTTATTCCTTTTTCTACGAGATGAAAGTCTATCTCTCATGGAAACATCATCCGTGAACAATATACCAACCCATCAATCGAGTTCGTTCGATTCTGGTTGCTACAATTGTAGCAGCAATGATGTTGGCTTACATAGTTTGTTTTCATACACTCTCAATCATATACCAAATTCCATGGCTTCGGGATGTCTAGTGAGCATTGGTATACATCAATGGAATATGAATAAGAAAGGTTTTCCGATGATGAGTCTTTTACTTTGACTATGACAGTATCTAACTAAGTCTAGCAGGTAAACAATGATTGAAAGTGGCATCATTAGCTCAACTAGTGTGTATGTGTGTGCGAGCACTTATCTTTAGCAAAATATAATGCATACTTTTCAATCAAAAGCAGTGTAAGGAAAACAAGCTGTTATATGATTACAGTCAAAGTCATTTTTCTTTCATTCTCTGCTCACAAGAGAGAGAAAAATAATTATTAGCTAAATGGAAATTTTGGTAATGGGAGAAACAATAACAAAAATGAAGAGAGAGAAAATGCATTTTTTGCAATGTTAATGAAGCTCTCTACACAAGACTCATAAAGAATTTATCATCGGTAACATTAACTATGGTCGAGAGAAAAAAAAGGTTCTGACTTTTGTTTTTTACATTTCTGTGAAGCAATAAACACATCGACAAACTTTAACAGAGAATAAAAATAAGAAAATGAAATGCAGGCTATTCTCATTTTCTAGTGAAACTAACTTCAAGTTAGACGAAGAAATAGCTAGGAGCATTCAATTATCTTCTCAGTATAAAGTATGAAATCTCCAACATCGCCAATGCGCCGTAAGTTTGTCAATGGTTGGATGGAATAGATAGTCACACTCAGAATACATGAAAGTATTATCTGAGCTCATTTCTGATAGTCTGGCCCATAGAATTCGTCAACATTAATTGGAACATAGGTCAATTTTACAAAAACATGCATCTATTGAGCTTCTGTTCACAGTACTTCAGCGTGCGTGTAGTTCATTTCGATGAAATATATTAGAGCACTATACTTGAGCCTCGAAAAAAATTTGCTAAGACTTCATCATACTATTTCACTGTTAACAAATTGCATCTTCTGGTCTTAATAAGATAAAGCTTTTCAATAGAGCTCGTTTGAAACTAAAATGTAGAAATCACATGTATTCTTTAGTCTCATTATACTAATACAAAACACGCAAATTGAAAAATCTTTAGCAGTCCATAGTTGGTTTCCGAAGATCATCGATCGTTAAGAAAATGATTTGTCTTATTTATATCTGCATTTCGAACAGATTTTTCTATTTTTACTAGTACTGTTATTTACTCGTTCTTTTATTTTGTATTCCGTTTTTCTTGATTTCACTTGGTTATTATTTTAATCATTCATTTAATTGACAGATAAGGCTATCATACATGGCCACTGTATCTATAGTAGATCTCAACACACTATAATATATATCGATAAGCTCAGAAACACTGATATTAAATATTTTCCAAAGTTATAACTCCATCAAATCACGCTTTTGACGTTGATCACATGACGACTGTGACCAACCAATGCATTACTACCCATCTTCTTTGACATCCATCACATAAATTATTATCGGCGAACAGATAAAAAGCTGCATTACTCAGAATATCCGCAAATGTATTTCGCCTGTTCGATTTTCGAAAAGGCTTTAAAATGTCCTAGAATTTTTTAGAACAGACGAAGTCTTGTTATTAATGCCACTCATGACCATTTTCCGTTGGTAAAGAATTTTGAAAAAAGAATACGATACTATTGCAATCGACTATTATGTAAACGCGCTCAATCACTACTGGCTCCTTTTTTTCTCTGCGAACTCGTCCAGTTACTAGAGAAAATATCCTCATTAACCTCGAACTTTTAACTTCCGTTGTTTTGGGAGAAGTAGAGGGAAGAAATAAAAAAATCTATACCTAAAACTTCTACTTACTACAGCTTTCTTCGAATAACATAATATGCATTCATTCCACAATATCGGAAGTTTCGAACCATACAGTTCAGAAAAATCAAATGTCTTATATTTGTTAAACTATTCGAGAACTTAACTGGTTTCGTCTATAGTTTGCCCATGATAGATTTGAATGAAAAGAATTTTATGAAAAGAATCTATCACAGGAAAAAATTAACGATGTCATGGAATTTTCTCAGTGATAGGAGCTTCATGTACATCATACTGTTCTGAATCATCACCTTACATTTTGTAAAAAACTTTAGTCTATCTTGTGCGCATCTCTAGAGAAAATCATCAGGAAAAGTGTTTTCTAACAGAGCAAGAAAATTATTAGCAGTTGTTCAGCAATGAAATGACTTCGAGCTGTTTCAATATAAACAACAAATTGTTTTCTTCGAACATTTTTTCAGTAATATTGAACTGTGAAACTTAGTATATACTGTGAAATTTTTATCCTCAATTTATCATAGACACGATGTTAACTCAGAAGTCATAGTTCAATAAGTAAAGAAAAAAATTGATACTGCACTGCACAGTTACATTATTGTTTCGTGTTTTTGGAATTGGGAACGGAGGAATGTCCAAGACTCTTATTGAAACTGATCCTTGCTAGTTTTGACTCAAATGGTTTTGCTCAAAAAACAGAAACATCGCATCAAATATGCTAGTGAGAAAATATTTGAAAGCTGTCTTTTTTCATGTTGAATAGTCGGATCTGTCGAACAATCATCATCTAGTCGATGGATTCAAAATGGCAACCGACAACGGCTGCAACTGATGACGAATCGACGAGTATATATGGCTGAAAATAATACTCCTACTAGTAGCACTAAATCGAATAATAGCGCACAAAATTCAAAAAATCTACCATTCAACTGGCCAGTAAACATTAAAAATGCAAAGACAACAAATGAAGATGCAAAAGATGTTGCCGAAAATAACTGTAATGATCTGAATAGAACTCCGCTAAAACAAGCGATGTTCAAACAACTTGGTAAAAGTCCCATCGAGGTAAATTTCGAACTAGTTATTTTAATAATAAGATTCATAGATTAAATATATCATTTGTGTCAAACCGATATAGGTACAAGTTCGTTGTGTATTTATGCGAGTTGGTGAAATCGATACGTTGAATGAGCGTTATTATGCTGAAATACTTTTTGAAGCTTCTTGGGAAGAACCGAAACTCAAAGGTCTACAAAAGAAACCTTTTGATTCAACAGTTTATTGGACGCCACAACTTGAATTGGTGAATGGCATTGGTGAACTTCACGATACGATAATGTACAGTGTTCGTCATGATCGTCAAGGTGTCGCTACAGTGACTGAGCATCATAAATTAAAAGGCACATTGTGGGAACGAATGGAATTGCAATATTTTCCACTTGATGTTCAAGACTTATCAATTTCAATTACAACATCACATTCAAGCAAAGAAATGATCTTTGTGAAGAATTTTCATAAACCATCAGGAGCTGACCGACGAGTTTTTACTGATGAACAAGAGTGGTATCTTTTCGAAAATGTAGATATCGAAACAACAGAGCGAATCGAAGAATATGTTGAGGATGAAAACAATTATTCAGTAGTTACTTGCTCTTGCCATGCAGCACGGTAAGAATAACTTGTATAACATATTTTGACATGCAGGATCTATTTTTAATATATAGGAGATATGGATACTTCATGTGGAATGCCTACTTCCTCATTTTCCTCATAACATCAGCCAGCTTTACAACATTTCCAATTCCACTAGCCAAGTGAGTGGATGATCAGTGTTCCTTTATCACCAAACAACGACAAAACCTTTGACTTCTTGTTTTAGTATTAGTAAACGTGTACATATAGCATGCATACTTTTGCTTACCTCGATTACATTTCGTTGGCTTTGCAAGAAGGGCCTCCCGTAAGCATCAATACTTTTTATTTTGAACTCTTGTTTTGTATATGTACTTATTTCATTCATTTAGAACAATCTCTTATCTCACAGCAGTTGACGTTTATGCAATTGGCAGTATTTTCTCACTTTGTCTACTAAATATCTGTGAGTTAAACCTTACTCTTTGTCTTATCCTCTCAACTAGAGATTTGTATTTATTTTCTCATCTAGATCATGGTGTTATTGGCTATGTGAACTATTATATATCCAAAAGTACAACTGGTTCGAGATTAACAATCAGTGTACAAAATATAATTGTTATTGATCGTTGGGCATTGGTAGTGTACACTATATTATTTTTTGCCTATCAATTCGGAACACTAGTTTGGATGTATCTGGTACCATGGAAAAGACGTCGAACAATGTTTCGAAAGGATAGAGAGAATCGTATGGCATTTGCGGCCAAGTATGGTTCCCATCGAACCACTTTTATTGACATCTTGCGAGCTACAACATTTAAGCAAAAATCTGCTCCTACCGTTTCGACTAGCACCGATATTGAACAATCTTGAACTGGTCTCATAACGTTGAACACGATGCTTTTTCCTTGCATATGATAGCACTGAAACGACTATAGTTCACTCATTCAAGATATATACTCTAAAGCTGCATAAACTATCTCATTTTGTCCTACCAGCTTTCTTTTGTCGATACCTATTACAAGTATGAAACTTTCGTCTTAACTGCATAGACATATTCCTTAAAAATTGACCCACTCCACACCTTCGATGAAGAGAATCTTGTATGGCGAAGTCTTAAGGTAGTTTTTATTTGTTTGCTGAAAAAATACAATCAGCTCAGAAGAAACATCGAAATTCACGCATAATTGGATAGTTATCAAATATTTGTACGTGATGAAAATAGTTTATGCATTGATCATTTTTGTTTAAAGTAAGGGCATGATCTGCTTCGACTCAGTCTTATCAAGCGTACATTGATTATTTCTTTTTAAACTGCTATTTACGGCCATGGTTGAAAACAGAAAAACTAAATATCAGAGACAAAAAATTCATAAATCATTCAATTGAGACAACTTCGAACAAAATCACTTTCAACGGATACACGCTCGTTGGATATGTTGACTAACAACTTCATTTGTTTGTATTGTGTTCAACAAAGTCTCTGATTGCGCTTGACTCCATAATTGTTGTTTTTATGTATTTGAAGCAAGTCAAACGATCATTAGATACTTAATTTGAGATCTAGCAAACAATCGTAACGATATAGTGAGATCACAGAATGTGATACTCAAAGCCAAAGAGAAAGAGACTTTTGAACTTACGCAAACTTTGTAAGATGATCTTCAAACTAGAAACATGCTGTCTTAAACGCAAAAAAAATGATATAAAGAAGAACAAGGCACAAAGAATACAAGTACATGCAATCAACACATCGTTCTTTTTTGCATCTGTAAATCACGATCAACAACAACTTTTATTACTTGCAACCAATCATTTCTCTTTTTTCATCGATTAAGATTTCACCGAAGCATGGTCGGGTTGTACCGATTAGGTCGCGTCCTTTTTCGAAATCGAGAAAAAAACAACAACCATCACCATCACGACAGAATCTATCGTTTTTTAGCTCTTTTTCTTCTCATGGTACTAGCAATGACATAGAACGATAAAAAAAAACTTCGCTTCGTGTATAAAACCTTAAAACATTCACTAAAGGAATCATACTGATCTGAACACGAATTCCGATTAATAAAAATCACTTTCAGAAATGTTTACTTCTAGAATGAGTCTTTTACACTAAAGATAATACAAGAAAAACTCACTTCAAACATGTTCTAGGGAAGCTAAGCAAAATGTGAACATCAAATATGCCACAATCCAAGAAACAATCGCTCATTCTTCTTGACTACGGTTACGTCGATTCAAGATATACACAAGCACGTAGTGATGCTTCCTTAAGAGCAATCATTTCATTCTTGATTTTTGCTACTTTGTGATGCATCTTTTATTAAGTTATATATTACAAGACTCGTAGAATGGAATGATATTGAAAGACATTGATCGTTCGAGCAGTCAATTAAGATAAACCTAAAAAAGAAACATTGAAAAAATTCACAAGATAGGTGAAAGCAAACAAAAACAACAATTATGATTTTCTTCTCATTTAATAGAATGAATAAAATTATAGCATTCTTCTACACCAGTTGCATACATATGTTAAGAACACGCGTTAGTATTTCAAAAGCTCACTTGAAAAGTTAGCGAATAAATGTGTCTAAAACCACTGGGAGCGGATAATTTACGCTTTTTATGTGTGCCGAAATTAATTATACATTTATTTCTTTGTAAAATATGGTTAATACTGTGTTAGTCTTAGTTGATTAGATGAAAACAAGATGGTCACGATTTCTATTGTTCATTAAAGAAACAATAACTGCATCATTTAACTTCTGTTTAAAATAATGAAATACTGATGGGCTAGATAAATATGAGTATATTCAATTGAAACTCATAAACGTCTACATATAATTCATTATAGGTAAACAGCTTTCTTTGTACACAAACGCAACGTAAAATAAATAATAACACCATCGCTCGGTTTGTACAAACTAAATATTGATAAAAGAAAGATACAAAAGATTGGAATAACAATAAAAAAAGTCAATGTCACTATTCTGATGAAAGCACTCAATAGGCTGAAATAGAAGAATTGTTCGATAAATATTTCAATTAGAAAAGCTTAATTTCTAATAATACATCTCTATATGACAAGACAAACGAGAATTAATATTTGATCAATATAAGTTTTTCTTATTAATATTTCTTCAGGTTAAATGAAACAAATAGATTTCTATCAGCTACCTTACTCGTTGTATATATTTATCTTTTATTTTGGAGAAACTCAAGTAAAATTAGATTTTTCTACGAAAAGACAAAGTTCGACCAGAGTCAAAAATGAAGTTACTGAAGACCCTATTTATAATTGTTTCACTGATTATTTCCTCGCAACTATCGTTAAACGTTACATACGAAGCGAACTTCTGATAAACAAGACTATTTAAATGTCACCAACCATTCTAAAAATTGTTCACGTCTATTTGCTCATATCTTTATTTTTGTTTCGAAGAAGAACAATGACTTTCTTCTTATGCTTACGACAGTTTTATTTGTATTTTCCCTTGGTTTTTGCTTTTCTTCGAGTTCTTTGTACATTATTTGATAATTGAGATTTCTCATGACTTGTCTTAATAATAAAATAAAACATACATATCAAACAATGTTTTTGTGTAATTTTGAACACACAATACTCATACAATGTTTTCTCTATGCTGTTAAACTTTCAGAGTTGTAAAGTGAATAACAAAAATTATTCATACTATACAGTTACATTTAATTGTTTTTGATTTTTTATTCTCATCACATCAAACCTTTATGAGAATAGATATATTTGAAAATGATTTTTCGTTTTTCTTTGTACCATCTAATTAAAGTAAAAACAACAATAATGATAATAAATAATTTGCAATACCATAGAATAATACTAATCTTGCCAGAAATATAGAATAGATAATGAGCATCTCGACCAATCCATGTGAATCCATTTTCTTTTCTAATAAACATAGGTCGAAAGACAGTAAAATCCAATAGACGCACAACTGATTGTTCCGATGATGTGAAAAGTCGTTCTTGAATAGAAACATATATAGGACCGGCACTAAGTAGCATAGTCCAAAAATGTAAAATATAATAGTGATTGAATAAATGTAGTCGAGAAATAAGTTGTCTATATAAAGGATGGCCAGCTGTACTTATCAAAAAATCACTTTCAACTCCGAACGAGTCACGTCGAGGAAAAGCAGCTAAATGAGTTGCGTTTGGTTCAAGTGATTCTAGAGTAACTATCAAGTCACGAAAAGGACGATTGCAACCATTATCCATATCAATATAGATACCACCCAAGTAAAACAGAAGAACATATCGAAATGAGTCGATACGCTGCATATCATATGAATAGGTTATATATGTCTTTCGATAAAATTGAGGCTCATGCTCTTTGACAAAAGCATCCATTTCAGCATGAGACCAGCGACGATATTTAAATTCGCCGAAATTTTTTTCGATCACTGACTGAACTGTTGCATTCCATATAGAAGGAACATCGTGTGTACGATATGTTTGATGAATTAATCGAGGAATTCGACGTCGAGCAAAAGTAGCATTCGCATATCGAAGAACATCGGTTTCATATATCATTCTTGGTGGTGAACGATATTCCAATGCATGACAGATTATATAGTAGATTAACCATATAATGAAGATTCCCAAGAGAAGTATACAAACTGCGAGATTCCATAGTCGCATAATTATTGTCCTAATACAAGCACTGTTCAAACAGTGTTAAATTCTACGAAATATTCTGCATGATATTGATAGAATAAATCATACCTTCCTACTCTTAAATTAAAATAGATTTCTAAAAAATGATGAATGTATTTTGGCTATCTTAGTTTCAACATAGAAGTGAACTCTATTGTATTTCTTATGATATTTAATAAAATATAAATGGTATGGAAGTTTTCTTTTGTTCTAGTTTCGGTTTGTATTTGTCTCTGGAACAACTAACGACAAGAAGTTAATTACAAAAGATTCTAAGTTAACTTATTTTAAAAATTCTAGTGTGAAAAACTAAGTGATTAGAATAATAAGATCTATGTAGATATA